AAAAATGAATAAACATAAAAAAAAAAGTTACTCTTCCTGTGGGTGAAGCTAATGGATCAGAAAAGAGAACCTAGTGATTGGTTTCTTTGTATCTCAACCAGTAAATTCTCATGGCCATGATAGAAGCTGTGTTTCCCAAACTTTTTCTCCCTAAATGCCCCTAATGGTAGAGGAAATGAATATATCCTCCCAGAGAGGTAGTAGCATGCCTGAAATTCCTGCAAGATCATTTCAGGTCCTGCAGGAATCCTTATTTATTGTGGTCATAAGCAGCATGTCAGACCATAGAGCCAATCATCCAGCAGCAACTGTAAAATTATATATAAACTATTTGACAATGAGAAAATATCCCATGCATCAGCTTGTAGTAAGCATTTCTAAAATAGCTATAAAGACTGGGAATAAAACCAGTAAGTAAATCAGCCTACTTCATTTTTCTATAGCCTGCCAAGACTCTAGCTGATGACTTATTAATGAGGTAACAAAAGATAATTATTAGATTTATTTGAGAATTTTTAGGAATCCAGTGAAAGTACATTGGCCAGAAAGTTGAAATCAAGTTACAGGCTGACTTGAAACCCCATTAAACATGATTATCAAGTACTCAGAGCAGTGGGAATTGATTCTGCATTCTCATTACTTATAGACAGAATCACAGCTAAAAGGTCCATCAAAGTCAATTGGTAAGGCAAAGTCATATTCTAGAATGCTTGAGTTAAAAAAGTCTCTCAAAGTGGAAGCCATGCCTTTTTCTCGGATTAAATTACCCAATGTTATTGGAACATTCATTTCATTGTGTCAGCATTCGTGAGCTACTTGATGGCAAGGACCAAAATAAGTTCTACTTTGTCTGCCGCACCCGGGAGTGACACCTGACCTCGCTCCAGCGCCATTGTATGGGAGGGTGTCCTTTCATCCTTTGAATAAATAAACCATTTTCAGAAATGTACTTCAAAGAGAGGGTGTTTATGTTGGTTTCCCTGGAAACCATTAATTCCAAGGAAGACTGAGAGGCGATAATTTGCTTTTATCAACAAGTCACAGGGAAAATCATACTAAATGAATTAACAAAAATTTTCTAGCTGTTGAGTCACTGTAGCAAGCATCTTTTTTTAGTTTCTTTTTTTGGCACTCTCCAACATAAAATGATTTTTAATTTTATTTTTTCCAAAATAATTTGAATTTCACAGGTGCTTTGGGAATTGCTTTCATTGTCTTAAGATTTGCTTTCATGGCAATAAAGAATCAGGGAGGGCAGGGGGAGGCAATAGTGTAAGATTAAATTTTCTAAGAGCTAGTAAAGACAATAATATGACTTTTTACAAAACAGATATGAAATTAATATAGCAATGTCTCTTTTTGGAACAGGGAAAAGCAGGAAGAAAGAGAAATGCCAGGACTCTGACCTGTACCCTCTCGTGGAAATGGAACTATGCCCTTGTAATGTATTTATATCTCAACCTTATGGAAACTGGTCAGATTGCATTATTCCGGAAGGCAGAAGAGAGTCTCAGCGAGGAGGATTCCGGGTGCAAGGAGAAAGCAAAGAATGTGGAAAAGGAATGCGCTTTCGAGCAATAGCCTGCTCTGATAAAAATGGAAGACCTGTTGACCCCTCATACTGCAGCAGCTCTGGTAAGGAGTACAGATGGGAACATACACAGACAGGAGGTGTATCCATGGTCTAGAATTAGTAGCTTTGTTCTTTAAAAATTGTTTTATTTCTCCTTGGTCAATAACACACTACCTTTCATAAAATGCAGGCATTTGGAATGCATAGATCCATATTTTACTGATTATTTGGAATGTGATTACTTTGGATCCTTAACTCCGTCCTTTGGCCACTTGGTTAACTGTGGATGAGTACAGTTGCTCTACTTCACTGAAAAAGCCATATTTAACAAAAAAAATACGTCTTGGGGTATGTTTTGGTGCTCTGATCATACATCTAGAAAGCAATCAGGCTGTGAATTTCTTCCAAGTTAGTTGACAAAATACCAATTAAAATATTGATTTAAAATGTTTTACCTTGTAATATATAAGTATATCTAAATTAATAGAATAAAACTGTAGGAATAAAACATAGGCAGTCTGGGAGAGTTCTGTGAGCTGTTAGGAAGAAGACTTTTTTTTTCATCTTGGGAAAATTTGAAAGATAGGGGTGAATGGGGAAAAGAATGAGAAAGAATGAGATTAAATACAATTGGGGTAAATGTTGATGGGGGGGGGGGTGGCCTGAGACTAATGATTACAATGGAGCCTATGAATTTCATACTCTAGTTTATGTCTTTTTTTTTTTTTTTTTTAAGACTAAAATGGTTACAATTTTTACAGAGAGTATGAAAGAGAAGTCATGTTTGACTGGCAAACTCTGGGAGGATAAAAGATTTTGGCCTCTGGGATCAAAGTCTTGTGTTCTAATCAGCTTTCTCAATAATATTAGAAATTGTAAGTTGATTAAGTTCTGACATAGAAGGCAGATAAATGAGAGTTTGTCTTCATTCCCCACGCATTAGCTGTTCTTTAAGATAGGCCCATATCATTATATGAATACAACTTAAAGCTTAATAACTTTTTAATTGGTGAAATCATTGCTCTGCTTCCTGGGGTAATCTATAAAATTTTCTTCAGTGATTTGACTCCTAGAAACATTAAACACATCACAAACAAGTTGTGGATCTGTTTTATGAAAGCCAAACCTGGTTGACTGTAATCTTTTTTTTTCCATTTATGTATATATGCACACACACACGCGCACACACACACACACATACAGTGTTTTCAGAAAATTACTTTTCCTTTCTCCTATTGAAATGTTTGACTTACAATGTTGTATACATTTAAGGTGTACAACATGTTAAATTCATAGAATTTTATAGGGAGATGATTGCTGTTGCAGTGATAATTGGCATCACTATCACATTACAAAATTATCATTTCTTTTTAGTGGTTGGAATAATTAAGTTCTGGTCTCTTAGCAATTCGATTATAACACAATTATAGGTGTGTATATTCACTATAGGGTGCATTAAATCTCTAGGACCTATTTGCTAATTGCAAACTGATATAGCTTAATAACATGTGTCCTATCCCCCGAGCCCAACCCCTCATCTCCTGATAAACACCATTCTACTGTTTTTACAAGTTTGATTTCTTTACACTACACATATAACGATATCATACAGTATTTGACTTTCTCTTTCTGAATTAGCTTACTTAGTGTAATGTCTTCAGGGTCAATCCATGTTGTTACAAATGGCAGGATGTCCTTATGGCCAAATCATATTCCCTGATTATATTTACATATATATATATATATATTATATATATTATATATATATATATAAATATAATATATATAATATATATATATTATATATATAATATATATAATATATAATATATATGTTATATATGTAACATATATTACATATATAATATATATAAATATAATCAGATATTTATAACATGTAATATGTAACATATAATATGTTACATATATATGTTACATACATATATATATTACATATATATAATAGATACAGCACGTCTTCTTTGTCCATTCATCTGTTAATGGGCACATAGGTTATTTCCATAGCTTGGCTATTGTGAATAATGTGGCAACGAACACAGGAGTATATTTCTTTGATACCCTGTTTTTATTTCCTTTAGGTATGTACCCAGATGTGGGATTCCTATATCCCATAGTAGATCTATTGTTAATATTAGAGTAACTTTAATATTGTTTTCCATAGTGGTTGAACCAATTTCATTCCTACCAACAAGTGTACAAGGGGTCCCTTTTTTCCATATCCTCAACATTGATTATTTCTTCTTGATTATAGCCATTTTAACAGGTATGAGGTGTTATTTTGCTATGGTTTTGAGTTGCATTTCCCTGATTGTTAGTTATGTTGAAAATCTTTTCATCTACCTATTGGTCATTTGGATGTCTTTGAGGGAATGTCTATTTCTCTGCCTGTTTCGTAAGCAGATGGATGGAGCGCCTGGGTGGCACAGTCGGTTAAGCGTCCGACTTCAGCCAGGTCACGATCTCGCGGTCCGTGAGTTCGAGCCCCGCGTCGGGCTCTTGGCTGGCTCAGAGCCTGGAGCCTGTTTCCGATTCTGTGTCTCCCTCTCTCTCTGCCCCTCCCCCGTTCATGCTCTGTCTCTCTCTGTCCCAAAAATAAATAAACGTTGAAAAAAAAAATTAAAAAAAAAAATAAGTAGATGGAGTGTGTTCTTTGTATATTATAGTGCTGTCTGAAACATGGTTGGCAAAAAGTTTTCTCCCGTTTGCTATGTTGCCATTTCATTTTGTTGACTGCTTCTCTTGCTATGCAGAAGCTTAAGTTTGATATAATCTTATTCAGGTTGCTGCTGTTGTGGTGATAGATCCAAAACCTCATTACCAAAAGCAATGTTAAATAACATCTTCACTATATTTTCTTCTAGGAGTTTCATGGTATCAGGTTGTATATTTAAATCTTTGATATCTTTTATTACATTTTTTAGTGTAAGATAAGGGTCCAGTTTCATTGTTCTGCATGTGTTCAGTTTTTCCAAACTATCTAAAGAGATCATCATTCCCCCATTGGGTGTGCCCTCCTTTCTTGTTCAATCTTAGTTGACTGAATATGCATGGATTTTCTTCTGGGCTCTCTATTCTGTTTCATTGGTCTGTGTCTTTTTATGCCAATATTATTCTATTTTTATTAGGAGAGATTTGTAGTATGACTTGAAATCACGAGTGTGATAACTCCATCTTTGTTCATCCTCGGGATTGCGTTGGCTATTTGGGGTCCTTGGTGATTGCATTTCTCTCTCTCCATCTTCTCTATATAAAGAATGCTCTCTGGATTTTGATAGAGATGACATTAAATCTATAGAAGACTTTAGGGAGTAAGGACATCTTAACAAAATTCTTCTGATCCTTAAACATGGGTTGTTTTTTTCCATTTGTTGTGTCTACTTCAATTTTTTTCAACTAAGTTTTGTAGTTTTCATCATACAGATCTTTCACTTCCTTGGCTAAATTTATTCCTAGGTATTTTTATTGTTTTGGTGCTGTTGTGAATGGGATAGTTTTATTTTTCAGAAGTTTCATTATTACTACATAGTAACATAACTGATTTGGGGTGACATCTGGGTGGCTCAGCTGATTAAGTGTCCCACAATGTGGAGCCTGCTGGGGATTCTCTCTCTTTCCCCCTTTCTCTCTGCCCCTCTTGTGCTCACTTTCTCTCTCTCGAAATAAATTAAATAAAACTTAAAAAATAACTGATTTTTGTATGTTGACTTTTTTTTTTTTTTTTTTTTATCTTGGAACTGTATTGAAATTGCCGAGTAGTTTCAACAGTTTCTTCTTGGTTGAGTCTTTGAGGTTTTCTTCAGTCTAATGCTCTCCCAGCTGAGCTATTTCGGCTGCTTGAGGTTTTCTATATACAAAACAATACCACCTGCAAATAGTGACAATTTTAATTCTTTCTATCCTGTTTGGATGTTTCTTGTTTGGTTGCTTGGGGTTTGTGTTTTTGTTTTCTGTTTTGTTCTGTTTAATTGCTACACCTAGGACTTCCAGTACTGTATGAACAAGAGAGGTAAGAGAGGACCATCTTGTCTTTTTCCTGTTTCAACATTGAATGTAATGTTAGCTGTGAGTTTACCATATGGGACCTTTATTATGTTGAGGTATGTTTCTTCCACACACAATCTGTTGAGGGTTTATATTGTGAAAGGATGTGATATTTTGACAAATATTTTTTTTGCATTTATTTCAATGATCATGTGATGTTTGTCTCTCATTCTATTAATGTGATATATTTACTGATTTGTGTATATTGAATCATCCTTGAATTGAAAGGACAGATCATACTTGATCATGGTGTATAATCACCATGTCTTACTCATTGTAGTCTCCTAATATTTTGTTAATTTTTTCATCTATTTTCATGAGTAGTATTCTATAGTACTCTTTTCTTGGAGTGTCTATATCTGACTTTGGTATGAGGGTAACACTGGCCGTATAGGAAATTGGAAGTGTTTCCTCCTCTTCAATTTTTTTTGAAGAGTTTGAGAAAAATTGGCATTAAGTCTTTTTTAAATGTTTTGTAGAATTCACCAGTGAAGACTTCTGTTCCTGGTATTTTTTATGTTGGGAGGGTTTTGATAAATGGTTTAATCCCTTTACTCATTAACTTGTTCACATGTTTGATTCTGTCTTGATAGGTTGTGGGCTTCTAGAAATTAACTTATGTCTGCTAAATTACCAAATCTGTTGGCATATAATCGTTCACAGTAGCCTCTTATGATTATATATATATATATATATATATATAT